TATGGTTATATTAAAATGTCACAAATATTGTGGACATTTACTTAATTTTTTTTAACAATATAATATAATATTATAGTTTTATGGATTATATTATTATTCGTACAATTTCGAAGAAATTAGTTGTTAATTATCACCTAATAATTAATTACATTTCATTTACACCTTAATTATAGTAGTGTTTGAGAATTAAGGTTTTCGATTGCATTTTATAGGGGGCTATTAATTTCATTAGTACACTTTATTTAACCGTTGGACGGAGTATAACATTCTGTTTACTTGTCAGTTTCAATTTCTTTTCCTTTTCTCCACCCTTTAGTCCAAATTAATTTAGTTTAAAGCGCTGGTGGTTAATCAAACACGTTCCTTTTCCTTAAAGTTCAGCTATAATAAAAATATAAACATTTAAAAAAACTACCTAAGTCAACACAAATTATATTTGCTTTTTATAGCACATGTTGGTTTGAAAAGGTTTACAGAAAACTATTAAAATTATTATTAATGTGACGGAAACAAGCCATAAAGCAATTACGATTTTTTTCTTTATAGAATTTGGCTAACCACAAATTTGTATATTAACTTTGTTATAAAACCAAACGCTTTCTACGAAATAGTTATACGCGTTATTGAAAAACTTAAGATTTTTGTAAGCCGAGTTTTTTGAAAAAATAAAAATAAATTTAATGATAATATTATGAAATAATACATAAGTAATTCTTTTAGGGATACATAATATGACAAGTCAACTTAACTGTTGAACTGACATAGTATATTCCTAAATGTACTTGAACGCACTTAGAAAATTAGATATACATTGAAATTGTAATAGAATATGTTAATTAAAATTATGCATATCATATCAATTGTTTTGATTACATATATTTCATAAAGAAATCCTTAGGTAAAATATGTTTTGGACGTATCTTAGATCTCATACGTACAAAAAAGTTAACATAAATAATTATTCTTGAATATTCTGCATAAAATATTGTTCGCTACTCCAGAAAAAAAAAACTTAAGAGGACGTCATACGTTGTTTCTGTTTAACACATGCCTAAACATAGTAAATCAACGTACTGAATTATTTCTACAGTGTATGAATAATTAATATTAAAAGAAAATTTATGTATTATCGAATTTTAGAGGAGAATAATATAAGCGGTGCTCGAGTTAAGAGTTTTTTTTTTTCATATGTTTATATTACAACGAGCTATTTGAATTTTTAATTACAACTCATTATGAAAAAAATACTCTTCTTTCAAATTCAGTTTATATTCTCCTCTATAAATTCTATAATATTATTTAAATGTTCTCATCTAAGCATAAACTATAAATTAACTGTAGTAAGAATCAGATAGGTAAGTAGATTTGTAATGGTACACGAATGTAAGACTGAATTACACATTCGGGTATCTATAAGAAGAAGAAATACGTTAAACGGTTCACAATATTATTTACTTGTTATTTTATTGAAGTAAAACTTCTTTTTTGAGGCGTGGATTGTGGATAGAAAAATAATCGTAACAAAAAATGAAATTACACGTTTGTTTATTTATTTATATAATATGGACTTAAGTTCTAATATAGAGTGATACAATAATTTATCTCTCGAGTCTTAACTCACAGTTTTTATGGTTGCAAATTTAATAAAACAAAATATATGAGGGTTGTTCAATAAAAAACTATAGTAAGACATACGATAGCAAAAATATTCCAATTAAATTTGTCTGCTTTCTAAAAATAACATGACAATTTTAGTAAATAGTAGGTATTGATCCAAAAATTTGACAAAATTCCTTTTAAGCTCAACTGGATTTTTGTATAATAACGAAAAAAAAATCGAAATATCTATCAACATACCAACTGGTAATAAATAAAGTCAAATAAAATTATCGTTATAATAGTAATTTATAAATGAATTATCATATAGTTTAATGAAGTATAAAACTATAAACTCTTTACTAACTTAGTATGTATACTAAATTGTGTTAATATAAGCCTGCATAATAATTCAACCATATTTATTATACTAAATAGGTTGGTTTTTTAAATTTTTAATGTGGTCAAAAATAAATTTTTAAAGAGTATTGGAGATTAATATTATTCATTATGAGTTTAATGAAAATAAACACACTAAAGCTATTAGAGTATAAAATGTTTTTTTTTTTCATATAATTTTGTAAAAATAATAATCCTCAACATTTGTGTATGGATAACTTAAAACATTTTATTATTAAATTGTTACACAAAATTATATCAAATAAGCGATCTCGTAGACAAAAAAAAATAGTTAAATATTGAGTTAATTCCGGTGTGTAAATAGTTTTTTATGTTTATTAACTCAATATAACAGTAAATATGATGAATCAATTCTATACTATGATTATCTATGAACTATTAGCTATATTTTTTTCAATAATTGAGTGTATGCATTATGCAATTTATTTTTGAATGAAAATCATAAAATCTTTTTTTTTTTATTATTAATAAAAAATTACACTCGGCGACATAGGCTATTGTGATACAGAGACTATTTAATGAAGCTTATTATTACAGTTTGTTTTGAAGTTTTGCATTTATTATGAATTAGATGATGGCTGCTAGTGAAGATCTGTTGTATCCGAGTGATTCTGAGAGGTGTTCTGGAAGTTTTGAGGACAATCTTGATTCAATGTATGTTTGACATTCCGTCATTATGTGTTTGATTGTAAGACAGGTTCCACAAGATGGGCATATTGGGGGATAATTTTTACTCATTAGATGACTATGGGTGTCACGATCCGGAGTCTTGTTAGAATGACTTAGAACTTTCTTGGAAGATCTGTGGGATGTGGCCATATGAGCACATTCTGTTTTATTTCGTGTAGTTGTGTGCAAACGGAATTCCAGTTTGCCTGCCACATATTGGTGAAATAAAGACTAAAGTTTAATTAGCTGTACTACTTCTTGTTTGGTTACAAATTGAACTGTTGTTGCTGAGGGGTTCGTAATTGCATATTTTTCTGCCTTATCAGCCATCTCATTTCCGATGATACCGCAATGACCAGGTATCCAGTACAACTGAACAGTGATTCCTTTTGCTCTTCCGAACTGTAGCAAATTTTGTACCTGTATGTTTATTTCATTTGTGTTGTTCGCATTTATTATATTGTTTATCGCGCTAAGAGAGTCTGAGAAGATTGTATCTTTTTGAATGTTTGAGTCTATGACTAATTGAATACTTTTGAGTATTGCGAATGATTTCGCAGTGAAAATTGAGCTTATATTAGGTAGCTTAAATATAAGTTGTGTGTTATCCCAGATTACCGAAGTACCGACTCCCGCTTGGATTTTTGAGGCGTCTGTGTAGATTTTTTCGCCCGATAAGTTGTGTATGATTTGAAGATAAAGCTCTTTATAGGTTTTAATATTAGTGGAGTCTATTTTTAATTCTGATAAATTCATGATGGTGACAATTGAGTGAATCAATGGGGGGGAGTTGTTGGGAAACAAGAAGGGAGGATTTCGGAAGTCTTGAGATTGTGGAGCTTCAATAGTGTTATTAATTTTTGTAAATTTTGAGTGAAATTTATATTTGATGACGATGCTACTTTTAACTCATATTTAAGGGCTATCTGACGTCTTCTTACTTCTAGAGGGGGTAATCCTGCGAGATTAATTAGTATGCTAGAGATAGGGCTTGACCGATATGCTCCAATGGCCATTCGGAGACCTGCATTGTGTATTACAATGTGTATATCCAATTTTCTCATGTTTTTTTTCTGTGGATTCCCATATGTAGGCGCCAAAGTCTAATTTGGACATGATTAAAGATTTATATATTTGTAATAGTGCGTTTGTTTTTGATCCTCAAGACGTGTGTGAAAGTACTTTTATTATGTTTAAGCGAGGGGCGATGGAGTCTTTTGGGTTGTTAATATGATTAATAGTAAATGTTGATCTAGAATTTAGGATTATTCCAAGAATTATGATTGTATTTTTATCCTTAATTTGATGTTGATCCATTTTAGTGAACACAATGCATTGGGATTTCTCGGGCAATAAATTGAAGCACGTCATTTTTGACCATTCGATGAGGTTATTGGTTGTATTTTGGAGCATAAATCTAACAGTTTCTAGATTGCGGCTGCTACAATAAAAATTAAAATCATCTGCGTATAGTGTTGCTTTAACTGGTAATTCTATATTATTTATGATACTGTTGATGGCGATGAGAAATAGCGTAGGGGACAGAGATGAACTTTGCGGAACTCCATTTAATTTTTCATATTCTTCTGATAGGAAGTTCTTAATTTTTACTTGGAAAGTGCGAGTGTCCAGAAAGTTGCAAATACAATTGTAGAGTTGTCCGACACTAAGAATTTTGTTCAGATTCTGAGTGATGAGGGGTTTCCATGTTGAATCGTATGCCTTAGAATGTCTATACTTACCATTCCCATAAATTGATTGTTGGAGGAAGAGTTTTGTACTTCAATGTTAATTTGTGTTAAGCTGTCATTAATGCCTTTACCTTTTCTGAAACCACTTTGTTCAGGAACCAGATAATTTATCTTTTCCAAATACCAGGCGAGTCTCAGGGTTGTAATTTTTCCAGGAGTTAACACATTGTATTGATCAGTGATGTTGGTCTGTATCTTTCTGTGGTAAATTTATTTTTATTTGGTTTGTTGATAGGAATAATGATACAGTTTATCCATGATTTCGGGAAAACATTATTGTCCCATATCTGGTTGTACATTTTGAGGAACATTCTAAATGTTTCTATTGAGAAATTGTGAATGAATATGAATGGGATGTTATCTGGGCCTGAACTTTTGCTAATGTACTTTCAAAGTGCTAATTGGAGTTCTTTTAACGTTGAGTTGAGGTGGACTTGTGAACTTCGGAATTAATTTGCTGATTGCTATGATGTATTCTATTTGAGGTGCGTTATCAATTGATTCGAAAATGATTGCTCGATCTTTTTTGGGTAGGTTAGAATTGTGAGTACTCGCAGCGAATGTTCATGTTCCGAAGGCGTTTTTATCGGTTTCGATGTTGATATTATGATTCGATGTGGAGTTTGTATTTGGAACATTCTGTATGTGATTAGTGTTGTTGTTGGTTTCATAATTGAATTTATTTGTGTCGATGGTCTTGGATACGATGTGATTATTTGGGTGTTGTGAGGATGCAGGTAGCTCATTAGTCATGTTATCTACTGTGTTGGTGGAGGGATCACTGTTAGGTGTTGTATCATTGGGTTTATTATGATTTGTTTTTGATGACTGAATAAGTCTGTCTTTAAGACTTATAGAGTTATTGTTGGGTTTATTACACATTTTGGGGTGTGGATATTAATTTGAAACAAGTATGTGTAAAAAAAAATCTACTTTATGATAAATATTCATATTACATGGATCACACGTAACTCAATCAATTGCTTACGAGAGCTAAAAATACGAGATCACCATACGATAAACATGTTGCTCGGTCGAAAGTGCATACGTAAATGTAAATCTTTTTTAATACCTTCATTATATTATTCTTAATTTCTCCTAATTCCAACTTCCAAGTAGATATTGTATGTCATGCCTAAAAAAATATAATATAATATTTGATAATATTTTCTAGTTGAAACATCACAATAATATTATATTAATGATTTACTCGAGGTAGGTGTAGGTATATACTATAGTACTTATGTCTAAAAAGTTTCAGTTTATCACGATAATAAACACTACATAGGTATGTTGGCTGTTTCGACATTTTTCAAACTAAAGTTGTTTAACTATTACTCATCTTTTTAAAATCTCAAGAGAAATAATCTTAATATTTTTTATAATTTTCGTATTGCACTTTATTTTAATCATTTTGTACACTTTGTTGTTTGCAAAAAACTATGTTATAGGTATGTCATCACCAATAGTGACATACTTTATAGCTATACAAGTACAACATTTCTTTTCAATATGTAAGAGTTAAATCGAGTTCATCACAAAAACCGATTCAAAAACTCATTTCAAAAAACTCACATGTCTTATTATTATTATTCAGACTCAATGTACAATACAATGGTACAAAACATAATATATATAACAACACGACAAATCATTTTTCGTAAATGTCCTTTTCTAGCTTTGTATGCTTCATTTTTTCTAAAGTTCAATATTTTCCAAGTTGATGCCTTAATTCAATATCATAAGAAATATTTTTAAAATTATTTTTATTTTAATTGTGTTTTTGATTTTTGTACATCGATATTATCAGTATTGAACTAGGTTAATAGATTAATTTTGTTTTTCTTTATAAGCCTCAAGTTGAGATGTGCTATCAATGTTAGAATCTAGTAACAGACAAATTGGAAAAATATGGTTGTTACTGCACTCAACAATAGAAAAAAAATCAAGGTGGATATATCTTGGAATAGAATATTTATTGTGGTTTCTTGGTAAACACGCTAACAAAAAGTACTTTTTTCAAATCGCAGTGTTTCATTTCTTATTTTTATACTCTCCAAATTGTTTTCTCAACTTTACTCAGTCATTTTTATCTACGAATACCTAGATGATCATAATTATTAAATTAAAACTGATTTTATATATTATTCTATTACACTATATTCATGTGATTATTAGAAACAAAATATCATACACAATATAGTTATATTTTTTAACAGTGTTCAACTATATTTTTCAAAACCTCAATAATGTATTCAATCATAAGTAAAAAATCAATATACACTTTAAAATATTATTTATATAGATATTAACTTTGTGAAACATTATTTTAATGCGTTATAATATATATATCGTATAAAAACTTTTTCAAACAAAAATGGTTAAACAAATTTGTATTAAATTTAAATATTTTTATGATAATATAAGAGACCTGTCAAAAATAGTGCAAAAAAGTGTAAGAGGTCGATGTTCGACTTTATATAGTTTATATTATATTATAAAATATAGTTTATGTATTAACTATTCTGTATGTTTATTAGGTATGTGCTTTCTATTTTCAATGATGTTCATACTATTATTTACCTAGGTTTAGGACATCAATGGATCTCGATTTTATATGGCCATACCGGCGTAAAAAATATTTTATTATTGCTAAAACATAATAATAATTTTTCTTATTTATTGTAAGAAGTAAAAAAACACATATGTTTTTATTCGTTGTAAACTTCGAGCGAGCTTATGAGCTCAAAGAGGCGCGTTTTAGTGAATGTGTGTGTAGTTCATACAATATGTATAAGAATAGCCACCCTTCCAAGAACAATTCGCAGTCGCGAATCGATATTTTAGATTGCGGTTTTATACGTGTCAAAAAGCGTATGTACACAACGGGGGTTGGTGTTATGTTGTAGCTATATGTCTCAAAATGCAAGGAGATTGAAAATGTAATTGAATAGAACACAACATAGCTCAGGTAATTATTTTTATTAGTTTTTGAAATTGTTTTTTTTTCATACCCAAATGTTATGCAAAATATGTTTTTATTCAATACAGCTTTTTGGCTATTACTTTATACCTTTGATGGTCTACTTCCAAGTTATTTTAAATTCCAAACTACAACAAGGGAATAATGAGATGTTTCGACGACGTACAATAATTTTGTTATAAAACAACGGCAATAATCCAATTATATAATGCATATATACACACAGTTAGTTACACGATTTACTATACATTACATAATTGCTGCATTATTGTAACCCCAGTTTATGAACTGTTGATTATTATAGCAGATGTACATGGTCTCGTTCGCACGTTTTTGTGTAGTATTGTAACTAACTTTTGAAGTTGCTATGGAATAATTAGTTCTCTCTACTGTTCTATATATATTCATTATAAAGTAAACAATATTTTGGAGATAATTTAATATCCGTTTTCCAAAATAGCACATAAAAACAACCATACATTTCTCAAAGCACGACTGTATTATTATTATCATAATCTTAAGCTTAACAATAATAGTATTACATTATTAGATCAATATTATTAATCTAAATCTACGGACGCCAGCACAGTGCTCCAGCCGTAATACGATATAATATTTAGTATTATATTATTATTATTATTATTATTATTATATAATGGCTAATGCTGTTACAGTGTATCTGGATGATAATATTATTATGGATTAAAATGTAATTGCAGTGAACAGTTCGTACTGTCAGTACAAGAGAACCAAAACGACATTTTTCAATTTTAAGCTTTTGGTGTCCCTGAATTCGTTTTTTACTATTTATGAAATAATCTTATTGTTCTGAAACAGGTTTATATCCGATACCTAGTTGATAGCAATAAAGCCATAATACAAAATTTGTCCTTTTAAATATATTTCTTGTCAACAGTACCACACTACCACAGCATAATGAAATATGGTCTTATTGCACTCAAAGAGTTATAAATATTTCTTGATAAACACTTCGATAAAAGCCGCATAATGGTATACCTTCGGCCTTCTCGCATTAAAACCATGGTTAAAATAAGTATAAATATTGATAGAAAGCTAGCAACAACCAAAACCTCTATTAATAATAATTTAAAATTTAAAACAACTCCATGTATTTTTTGAGTTATAACAAAAAGACAAAATCGATTTCAAAAAAATTCAAAATCAAAAACTGGTATATTTTGGTTTTTTTTTGGTTTTCCTCGTCGCTTTTGAAAATAACTGAAAATTACCAATTTTTAGCCCTCTATAGTACCAACTAGATTAATTTTCTCCTCAAAAAATACTCCAGTTGAAAATCGAAGCATTATTTAAACTACGTATCGTGTATTCTATAGATCGAGTACACATAAAAAGAATCATCACAAACTATTGTAAAGCCATTATATTCATCAATCCGCTCAGAATCTAATAATAATATTATGTATGAAATACAATATTTGTAATAATATTACTGTCATCATTAATTATTTATTACTAAACAAATATGGTTACATAAATGGTTATAGTTTATAAATAAGTGCAATAATGCCATGTCTTAAAATATTTATTGTTCTTGTAAATAATTACTATTTCTGGTAAGTGTAAGTTTTTAAAAAGTAAATAATCAAACTTACAAGAAATTTTCGAATACGAATTTTCGAATATGTGGCTGGAGATAACTTACAAATTAATGTAAGCTAGAAAATATAAAAACGCTCTCCTGAACGATTTACCATTTTTTATATACGGCCCTCTTGGCCTCTTGTACTGACATGGCAGTTCGAATAATTGTCAAATCCCCGATATTCAGCTGCAGGAGTACTAGGTACTTACCTATAGTGTATTCAGTATTGTATAACGCATATAGGTACCTATACAATAATATATTTTTATATAAGTGCTCTATTATTGTATTGTGTAAGTCGTTTCGTTTAGTGATGATATTAAACTCGAATCCGGACATGGGATATATTATACGAACAATATATAGGATACCTATTCTGTAATATTCGTATTATATTATATAAATGCTGGCTAAGACCACGTTTAGACCTTTTTACAGTGTCCGAAAACATTCGTATCATGCGATTTAAAAGTCGCATGAGTGTAATCTGCTGCTGCAGTTGTGGCTGAAGAAAATACGGACGGGCCTACAATATAATATTATACGATTTACAACGATATAATATCCATACTGCAGTCTATATAATCGGATAAGATCCAAGCCCAAGGACGAGTATTCATTTCATCACGAGTGCCCCATTATTATCGCACAGCACCATGACTCGATGAAACGCTAGGTTGGAATAATACCTATATCATACAATATAATAATATACATCATCACGTATTTTGCGTTTCACAATAATAATATGTAGAATGTAGATTGAAGGTAGGTATGGGATAGTTGACTCTGACCATGTGTACCTATCCATTACGGCGGTCTGAATTGATGGAGATGAAAAGGAAGTTTTTAAATATTGTTTTTCGCGTATACGTTTTATACAATTATAATGCCTACATTAGAACAAAGTTTTATTTCGTTTCTAACTTCTAAGTGTCAGTCGTCTCACTCTCACACTATTAGTACGAACGACTTAGTGGAAACGAATTTTCGTTCAAGCCAATCAAAATCTCCTCACAACATTTTAATTTGAGGTGGTAATGGTACTGTGCGTAATGTTCATGTTAGGGTTGTGGTTAAGTGCACACCGCTGGGCCACGAAGCTTATAATTCTCATGAAGACCAAGGCCGTTCCGCGGCTACATAACTGTGCTACGTACTTTAGCTTTTTATAGGATATATATATAGTTAAACCATCGTATGGAGTTAACTTCATTCCACTAGTATTCAAACTAATAATACTTAATTTATTATTCTATTTCTACAGAGTTCTTG